CCAGGGGGCAAGAAGGCGACAGTGAGGGGCTGGCCTCAGCCCCTTCTGTCTCCTCTGCCGCCCACCCGGTAGGAGGCCTGGAGCAGGCTCCCCAGGGGAGTGGAACTAACCTGGTGGTGGGGGAAGGGATTTGGGGGTCCTCCAAGGGCCCCCCTCCAGCCTGGGGAGGCGAGGGGGAGCCTGGGGAGGGGGCTGGCCACTCACTGGGCGGAGGAGGCCCTGGGAAGGTCTGGGGGACCGAACCCCTGGCCAGGTTGTGTGTGGGGGGGTGCACCCGCCGACCAGACGGAGCAACAACATTGGGGTGGGTGGTGGAGCCCTGGGGGCCCATAGCTCACTGCACAGTCTGCGCCCACCCCCGGCGTTTCCGATGGAAGACAGGCAGTGGGTGATAAATCACCAGCTCCCACCCCTACCCACCCAGGCGGCCATGGGAAGGGGGGCTGCATGGGACAGAGACAGAGCCTGAGACAGAGACAGACAGAGATGGGAAGACAACCACAGAGAGACAAGCGGCCATGGGGGCCAGCTGACACCGGCCAGGCCCCTATGCTCAGGGTGTCTGGCTTCCCACCCCTGGGAGCCCCCTCCACCAGACCCATCTGGAAACCAGCTGAGAGCCACCCTACCCCAGCTGACCCCCAACTGGGAGGAGGAGGAGGAGGAGGAGGAGGAGGAGGAGGAGGGAGCAAGGCCTTAGCAGCCTAACTCCTGTCTACCCTGGAGGGCCATAAATCAGCAAGGGCTCTCCCCTCACTGCCCCCGGCGGAGGGGGGTCTTTGGGGTCACTGGGCCTGGTAACTGGGCCTGGCCTTAGCTGTGTCCCTTCCTCCTTAAACAGCCCTTGGGGCACCCACTGGCTGACCTCTCTTCCCCCGCCGCCCCCCCGGCATAGTCACACCTGGGAGTGTCTGCACCCAGTGCTGTCTGCTGGATGCACACTCGCTGCCCTCCTCTGTCTGCAGGGAGACCGGGGGGCTGGCCCTGCAGGAATTGGGGGTCCTGGTCCTCCCCAGTGAAGCCTTCCCAGGGGTCCACGTTGCCTCAGGGGAAATGCCATCTGTCCCTCCTTCCGACCTGCCTTCCTGCCACACACACATCCTCAGGGTGCTGAGGCCAGCTGGACGAAGGGTGCTGAGAGATGAGCCAGGTGGGGATCCGCCACAGGTGGGTGTGCCCCTGGGGTCAGTACTTAGTGGGCAAGGCTTTAGAGAGCCCATGGGAGTGCCCCCCATGGTCCAGAACCCCAGTCCCAGCCAGGCTGCCCCCGTGGTCCGTCCTGCAGACAACCCCTCAGGGCTCAGGTGGCAGAGATAAAGGCACGTGTATACAAGGAAATGTAGTGTCCACCATGACATCTTTCGTGGCTCAAAGAGTGGTGGGGGTGGGGATGGGGACTTGCTCGTCTTGAAAGACTTGGAGCTCTTGGAATTCTGTGCCTGAGAGGGGCATCGAGTGTCCCGGGGGCTGGCCTGGGCCTCGCCACGTGGACAGTCCCCTTGATCCTCAGAACAAACCTGAATTGTCTCTCACCCTGAGACGTCTAGAGCACTGACCGGTGTGTCCACAGGGGACTGGGCAGGCCTCCTGGGGAGTCCAGGCTGAAGGAGCAGCACTGCTGCCAGGGGACACCTCTCCAGGGAAGGGAGAGCGAGGGGCTGAGAGGTGTGCTGAGCTCAGCCTGTAGAGGGAGAGGGCAGAGGTGCCCGTGTGTGCAGGAGCCACCACCCAACCATTCATTTCTTCTCAGTCGTTGTTCTTCCAAACAGTGTGCAGCCCTGCAGGTTTCTTGGTCCCAGACCTCCACCCAACAGACACCCCACTCTTCCCTCCACCCCTCCTGGTGGGGTCAGCCCAAGGGGACTGGCCAGCTCCCTCCTTCCAGTGTCCCTCAGGGGCTCATCTCAGCCTGATTAAGCAGGTCAGACAAATTGAGGGGCTCTGGGTCAGACAGACCCTCATGTGGCAAGGAGTGGGGGAGGGGGAGACCCCAGCCTGCCCTGCCCTCCCCTCCTGCCCAGGTGTGCTTTTTCTACCTTTGTCCCAGTCACACAGGCTCCCGGGGCCACCCCCACAAGGTCACTGCTCCCCTGCTGGGGTAAAGGAACCCTCAGAGGCGTGAGGGTCTGGAAAAGAATCCCTCAAGCTTTGCCTAATGGGCACCCCCAGAGAAATAGAGGGTTCCCCAGGCAGCCAGTTCTCTTGCCCAGGTGTGTGGACAGGCTTGGCATGCCCAGCCCCAAGATGGAGGCTGCAACCTGGGGCTGGAGGTCCAGAGAAGGAGGGGTGGGGGCGGCGGTGAGGATCCCAGGGCAGAGCCCGGGCAGTTGGGCTCTTGGGGGGAGGGGCGGGTGCACAGGCTTGGGAGGAGTTTTGAGGAGGTGCCTGTGTGGGGACCAAAGGCCTAGCTCTGCCCTGTGTCTGTGGAGAAACCTATTTGATGTGATTTGTATTTGGGAGTTTGCTTTTCTCTTTGCTTTGTTTATTTAAAGATGCTCTTGAAGAATTCCAGCCAGTCTTTGCACCGACTAAGGAAAGAGCTTCTGTCTAGGCAGGGCTGGGAGGGGTGGGCCCCCCGACAGCCGCCTGTCCTAGCATGCCCGCCCATGCCCCTGTGTGCCCACTAACGGTGCTTGTGGCGCGGGGGCTGCCCTGCCTCCCTGCAGGGGCAAAGCCTGGGGGCCGGCCTGGAAGAGCCCCCCAACAAGGACCCAGAGCAGGGAAAGGAGCCCATGCACGTGCCTGTGCCGAGCCGGCACGGCCAGGTTCGGTGAGCCTGAGAGGGGGCGGTGAAGGATTGAGAAAAGACAGACAAGAGAAGAAAGCTGGGGCTGGGTGGGACGCTGCCCTCTCTGATGGAGAGACAGCGAAAACGCCACGGCCTACAAGCGGAGTCTTTATTTTATAGCCAGTTTCCACGAGGCAAAGTAAGGGCGTGGTCAAGATCTTTACAACGTTCTCGTGGGTTTCGAACCTATTCAATTACACGCACCTGATCAAGCTTTGTTTACTTGCTGCACCTCCCGCCGCCCCCGTATCACTCAGCCAAGTGGGACCACAGGTTCGGACCATAAGGTCAAGCTTCCGACCATAGCCTTTGGCTCTAATTGTGCTGGGACTTGCACGTGGCTTTTGCCACGAGAGGATCGTGCCCTCTCATTAGTCCCAGGCTGGAACCTGTCCAAACGCTGTAGCCGCTCTCCACACGTGCCCCCCTAGATGCCCATGTGGAGCGGGTGCAGGAGACCATCAGCTCTCTCTACGGGAAAGGAGGTCAGAGTGGAGGGAGCCCTGCTCCCTCTCCTGGCAGTCAGTGCCTCTCAGGGCCCCCTCTGCTCCGAGGGATGGATCCCTGGGGGCAGGGGTGGTTCCCATGCTGTGGGTCTCTCTGCTGCAGGTCCCTCATCTGGGGTCCCTGCTCTGCATGGCTCTTCTCTGTGGGTTTCTGCTACAGGGATCTCTGTAGGGGTCCCTGGTCTGAGGTCCCTGTTCAGTGAGTCCCTGGTATGGGGGTCTCTGGTCTCAGACGTTCCTACTCAGCTCTCCCGGTGTCTGCTCTGTGGGTCCTTGGTGTGGGGCATTCATGATGCTGCCTCTCCTTACTTGGGGTGTCATGGCCCTTCTCTCTGGGTTGGAAGCCTCCCAGGTGGCCTCCTGAGCCAACAGGAGGAGTGGCTGGAACATAACTGTGTCCCCAGGCCGTCCATGGAAAGGTGTTGAAGCTAAGGCTGACCCACAGCTTCTACTCCACAAAGCTCCCGAGTCCTTGCTAGTCTTCAGGGGACCTGTTGTGAGTCTACTCACTCCTCCCTGAATACTTCCTGAGTCCTCCCAGGGTCCTTCCAGTCCTCCTGGAGTGCTCTCTGAGGCTTCTAGGAACTTGCCTGCAGTCCCATCCCCCACGTTCTCAGGCTTGGGCCCCAGGAGGTAGCTGAGGTTGGCACCAGTGGGGCCTCGAGCCTGGAAATGCCCTGCAGAGTCCTGGTGGACAAGGCGGACAGTGGACAGCGGGCAGCCGGTGTGCAGGTTCGGCAGCAGCCCTGTAACGGGCCGAGGCTGTCATGACCTCACTCCAGCATTGGTGTCCGGGTATATTCCGTGGCTGGACTGGCGGGGCCTCCGAGACAGTCAGCCCTCCAAGCAGGCGGGACCCAGACAGGACTGAGGTGGCACCACCCGCCCTGCTCCTCACATCACCTCCCACCACGCTCGCCCGATCCTCCTTGCGCCTGCTGGTCTCCTGCTCTGCTTTGCCTCCCTGAACAGTGACCCTGGTCCCTTCCATCGGGACCCTCAAGGGGTGTCTGGGGATGGGGAGACTGCACACACACACATGCACAAATGCACACGTGCATACCAACACATGCGCACACGAACATGCACTCACACACAATGCACAAATGCATACCACACATGCACACACATGTGCAAACACACATGCACCCCTGCATGCATAAGCCCATGTATACATACACAGAAACACATGTCCACACACACATAAACACACCTGCACCTACACGTGCACGCACAAGCATCCAGAGAGCCTTCCTGTCTTCCCTTTGCTGGGTCTGGTTCCTCTGAGGGTCCGGGTCTAACACAAAGCTAACCACCGTGCTCTGAGCGGCATGCCCACTGAGTGTCCCCAGCTTGCTGTGCCACCTTCTGATGTGTGAGCCTATGTAATGGCAACACTGCAATTACATAAGCGTGCGATTATATAAGAGATGCACAGCCTCACCGTCCTGTATGAGCACGTCTGGGCCCCCACAGCCCCACGAGCGTGTCTATGTCCTCACCCCTCCTGCATGCGCGTGGCCTGCTGGCCCGCCGTGCCCTGCCTGCCCCCAGCAGCCGCCCGCCCCTGCCCGCCGCGCCATGTGTACACAGAGGCTTGTTTTCTCTGCCTTTCGGGCCAGGGGTGCGCTTGTAAATCGTGCAGCCGATGACACATTTATCCCGCAGGCGACTGGCAGTGTGAATTTATGGCTGCCCCTCCCTCCTGGCTGAGGCAGCGCAGGGGCCTGGACACCCTGCAGGCAGGTACCTACAGGCCACTCAGCTAGTCAGGTTGTCATGGGGCCACGGGGACAGGAGGGTGGCAGGAGGGCTCTGAGGCCCTGACATTTCAGGGTGCTCAGGGCAGAGGGGAGGCCAAAAGGCTGGCTCAGCTCCGCCTGGGCCAGGGCTGGGGTGCAGGGACGTCCAACATCCATCGACCTTCCCTACACTGTACCTCAGTCTTCCCACCTATGAAATGGGACAGCAGCTTTAATGTGCAGGATGGGAGGGGCTCCTTTCCTCAGATGTGGAGTCAACCCACCCACTGCTCCTGGGCCTTTTGGAGGCACCGAGGTTTTGGGGGGACTGTCTGAAAGGGTGGGGACCTCAAGGACAGCTGGGGCTGCACGCAGAGAGGGAAGAGTGGTGGTGATGGAAAGTCAAGGCAGGGAGGTTCCCTCAGAGCATGCCTGCCCTCCTCTGCCTGGTAAAGATGGGGAAACTGAGACCCAGAGGGGCAGGGCCTCAAGACCCCAGATTCCTGCTCCCCAGCGTACAGTATGGGGGTCCCGGGCTCAGTTCCCCATCTTGCACAGTCTCCTTTGTCCTGCTAAGTCTTCAGGTGGGGGAGGGGCAGCCAGCCAGGTCTGACAGGGAGATGCTGGACCAGGTCCCCTGAGGCCACACTTGGGGATGGGAGCCAGTGGTGGGGGGTGGG